TACAGATGTGTTCCTGCTGGGTTCCCTACCCCACACTCTTTTAGCAAACCAGTAACTGGAAATCATCCTGATTCTCCCTTTCTCTCCTCACCTTCTACCCCTCCCACACCTATTAACTAGTCCAGTCAATTCTAATTTTTAAATATCTCCCTTATTTTCCTTAGACATATTAAATTCAAACATAAGTTTGTTTGACTCTGGAACCTCCATTCTTCATTGCAAAAATGCAACCACATATTTTAGTAACCATTTACTACATTTATTTCTATACTTCTTTTTTCCCTTTTGCTAGACTTTTAGTTTTTTGATGTATGGTATAACATATTATTCAACTTTATTCTCCTAGTACCAAGTATAGTGCTTAGTGTTTAAAAATGGCCTTTACCAGAAAGAAGCATGGGTATTCTAGGTACAACCCAAAGAGAAAGGAAGAAGAAAAGGGAAGGCCGCATTGTATAGGAAGAAAATAGATTCATGATAAAATGAGTTGAGGACTATATAGAAGAAATTATTAGAAAGAGGCAGAAATAAGATAGTACATAGAGGAAGGAAGGACATATATAATTACATATTGTTTTTGTGATTAATCACTATGCTTTAATTATGTTCAATTTGTAACAATGAAATTGGGGGTCACCACAACATGAGGAACTGTATTAAAGGGTCGTGGCTTAGGAAGGTTGAGAACCACTGCCTATGTATAAAAACAAGAGTTCCGCTAGGATAGGGGTTCCCAATGGAAGTGATTTTGTCTTCTCTGGGGACATTTGGCAATGTCTGAAGGATTTTTAGGTTATTACATTGGATTGGGGGTGCTACCAGTATCTAGTGGGTAGAGGCCTGGTTGCTGCTAAACAGTCTATAATGCACACGACAGTCTCCACAACAAAGAATTGTTAAGCCAAATGTCAATAATACTGAGGCTTAGAAACCTGGCAGCAGGGTAAATGCATAGAATTAAATTGTTGGGTCAACGAATGTAGTTATATTCAGCTTTATAAGCTCAAGCACTTTCCCCCCAAAAGTTATTGTACTGTTTTAGTCTTACCTGCAGTGAACAAGAATTTCTGTTGCGCAATATCCCCTCAAACACCTGGAACACTTAATACTTGCCTTCTTAAATGGGTATAAAATGGTATCCCATCGTGGTCTTAATTTGCATTTTTCTGATTTCTAAGAAGATTTGGCATTCTTTCATTTTTTTGAATTTCTTCTTCTGTAGTTGATAAAGCAGCAGCAGGGTTTGAGATTGATTCTAATTTTGAAATGAGTTTTTACCGTGCAATAATAAAATGCTATTGAACAGTATTGCATGCCACAGAAAATTGCTCATGAAAAGAAAAGTCAATTGATGTGGCAAACTTTACTGTCTTATTTAAGAAATTGCCACAGCCACCTTCACCGTCAGCAGCCACCACCCTGATCAGTCAGCAGCCATCAAGACTGAGATAAGACCCTCCATCAACAAAGAGATGACGACTTGCTAAAGGCTCAGATGATGAGCCTTTTTAAAAGCACTTTTTAGCAATAAAATATTTTTAATTAAGATATGTATATTGATTTTTTCAGACATCATGCTATTGTACTTACAGTATACTGTAAACGTAACTTTTATATGCCCTTGGGAAAAAAAATTTGTGTGACTTGTTTTAATAAGATGTTCACTGTATTGTAGTGCTGAGGAACCAAACCCACAATATCTCCTACGTTTGTCTGTAATCACTGATATATTGATCTTGTTGTATTCTTCTTGTATTGACCAGCAATTAGAGTTCTTCAAAGATCATTGATTTTTTTTTACAGGTAAACAAATTCCTTTGTGGTCTGAACATTGAGGACCAGAATTTATTTTACATCACTAAGTAATGTGTCCAGAATTACCTGCATTGTGAAATCTATTAAATACTGTTTATGGAACAGTGTTTGGGTTTATAATTTAAGCAATTGAATTACAAGTGTACTCTTTGCCAATTTTGTGGAAAAGCAGACAGCCATTGGTGATACTTATGGTCGTTTATACTTTTTTTTTCTTTTTACTATAAAAGGTTTTCATCAACCAGACTGCAAAAGAATTACTAGGGGTTCTTGGTAAAACATAGATCACTGGTGCCAGCATCCTAGAATCTGCATTTTTTATACAAATGCAGTCCTTCTGCATAGTTTTTCTTGGAACTACTGGGCATGCCTTTTGATATCAACTTTAAATTAATAGAGTCTGTTCTGACTTTCTGTTCCTGTGCTACCTGGCAATTTTAAAGCAAAAATAATCAGAAATTCTCATGTTTAAATCTGAGGAGTTCATTTGTTTTTAGAAATAACTTTTTTTTATAACATAAGAAAAATTGTAATACATCAAGTGCTTTTTAAATTTTAATTAAGTGTATACACATTCAGTGTTGTTAGTTTAATTTAAAGTTCTACTGATCAATTAATATATATTTTTGTTAATTAGGAATTAATGAAACCATTAAGAAATTACTATATTGTCTTTTGTAGGATCAATCATTAAGTCTCAGGTTTCTAGAGTTCATTATGTTGAGCTACATTCCTTCTATACTAATTTGTTGAGAGTCTGTATCATGAAACAATACTGAATTTTGTCAAATGATTTTTCTGCATCTATTAACATTATATAATTTGAGAGAGAGAAAGAGAGGGAGGGAAGGAGGGAAGGAGGGAGAGGGGAGGGAAAGAAACAGGTTTTTTCCCCCATACCATTTTTTAAAAATATATATTCTATTGACTTTTTACAGAGAAGAAGGGAGAGGGATAGAGAGTTAGTAACACATGTGAGAGAGAAACATTGATCAGCTGTCTCCCACCGGGGATCCAAACCAGAACCCTCCCCCACACACCCAGACAGGGAACCAAACCACTACCTTTTCGTATGTGGGAGGAGGCTCCAGCCAATTGAGCCATTAGCCAGGGATGAACAAGCTGCTTCTTAATGCAACCAAAAATGAGACATCAAGGACTCCGCTCTTTGGCACTCAAAAGTTTCTGGCGTTCACAGATAGATTCTTTCAGTGAAGTTTACCGTTGTAGAAAATTTGGTATAAAGGGACCTGGTGTTCTGAACTCAACCTGCCAAGGTTATCATGTCGACTGCTATTGCTTTCCCTGTATGTCAGATTGCTAGTCACATAAGATATTGAAACTAACAACAAACACCAGAAAAACTAAATGACCTAAGGGAGGAATATGTAACTCAATTCTAAAGCTATATTTATGAGGGGGTAACTGTAGTCCTCTACTAAGAAAATATGTTTAAGTACCTCTAATTGTTGACTATAGCTCTAAAAATCTATGGGTTGGTGTTTGTTTTTAAATATTATGTTCATAGTTTAAATTCAATGCATATTTAAAGTTTGTACCAAAAGAAGTTTTTTTTAGTGACACTAAAATTTTTTTCCCCTTTTGTGGGTTTTGTTCACTTACAATTCATAAAAAGTTAGAACATTGTTTTTCTCTTATGGATTTATATCCTTCCAAGTATTATACCTTTATTAAGTATATTAATTCTGGATTTAGCTTCTGCTCCCAATAGGGAGTATTTTTTTAATTCTAATTCTGACAAGACTATGCAAAATTGCCTTCTTCTCATTAGCATTATGCTCTTTCTGGCATTTTAAAAAGTATTTTAAATAATGATTGCACAAAATGTCATAATATTTGGAATTGACCCCTTTCATTATATCATCCAATGTGAAAAGCTTATGAAAAGAGCTGCAAGATGTTTAAAAATAAATATCTTCAAGACATCCTTCCTATCACCTGTGAATCAAAATAACTTACGGCATCTTGTTTTTCCTTAGCTCTTCCCCCTCCTCAATTTACTAACATCCTCAACCAGACTAAGTGCCCCAGTCAGCCGGCATTCTCTCACAGGTGTTGCATCTATCTGGTTTAAAACGTGTTTTGTTTTAAACCTTTGTTTTGACTGGATTGATTAAAAATTATTTTGTGATCTTTACTAACCTAAGAGAAGATGTAATGCCATGAATTAAGTACATTGTCCCGTGATTCAAAATGCTTTTTCGTAATGTACCAAATTAAGTCAAAAAAAGAATAAAAACCTCAAAATAGGCTTGCCACTGGGTTTTTTTCCCCCCAATAGGATTGCCACTTTTTTCAAATTGTACCCAGACAGGAAGATTACTGAATGTACTGTTCTGGAGCAACAGAATCACCTTAAGGCAGGAAAAATAACAGTGATTTTTTTCCCACTGGCACTCCTCAATCTATTGCCTTTTTCTAGTTCCGAGGGCATTGGCAACATGAAGAGTGACAAATTATCCTTAGTAACATCCACAGTATTAGCTCCTAATTATTACCTTGATACTTATTAAGATGCTATTGAGTTATATAAGACATATAAAACATTGCTCTGTCTTCTGTGTTGGCCCAATCTTTTGGAAGATAAGAGATGGACTCTTTTGTTAACATAATACATTTTTTGAAAAGTAATTTTATAATGAAAATATCTCCATGTGGTTTTGATCTATATTTTTATTGTAAGTGAGGCTGAGAATCTTTTCATAGGGAACCATTTTCAGATTTTAAACGATACAATCATTTTTCAGCCCATTTAACAATAACAACTTTTACTCTATTTTCAGATACTCTATATGTTTATGTTATAATGTTTTTAAAAAATATGTTTTATTGACATTAGAGAGAGAGGAAGCAAGAGGACGAGATAGATAGAAATATCAATGAGAGAGAAACATCCACATTGATTGGCTGCCTCCTGCATGCCCCACACTGGGGAACAAGCCCAAAACCTGGGCATGTGCCCTTACCAGGAATCAAACCAGTGACCTGTTGGTGTATGGGTCAGTGCTCAACCACTGAGCCACAGTGGCCGGGCATCAACTTTTTGTGTGAAATACGTTACAGTATTTTACCCAGTTTCCACTTTAAATTTTTAAAATTACCTTTACAATGATGTGATTATATAAACTATATATTTATTGTCACTTAAATACTATAAAATTGGCTATGTATCCATGTGACAAAGTGGATGGACCTTGAGGGCATTATGCTAAGTAAAATAAGTCAGACAGAGAAAGACAAACACTGTATGATCTCACTTGTATGTGTAATCCTTAAAATGGAATTCGTAGAAATAGAACAGATTGGTGGTTGACAAAGACAGGGGTGAGGTCAGGGGTGAAGGTCCTGAAGAGGTAACAACTTCCAGTTATAAGAAAAGAGTTCTGAGAATGTTATGTACAATATGGAGACTAGCTAAAAATACTTCACTGTATATTTGAATGCTCATTAGAAGTAGATCTTAAAAGTTCTTAACACAAGAAAAAATACTTGTAACTCTATGAGGAGATGGGTGTTAACTAAACTTAGTGTGGCTATCATATTACAGTATATTCATAGATCAAATCACTATGTTGTACACCTAAAATGAATACAATGTTATATGTCAGTTATAACTGAAAATTTAAAATTTCTGTGAAATAAAATACATCATATTTGAACTAAAATATAAGCCCTGAGAGAACATACCTGCAATTTCTACAAATAAAATATTAATGTGAAGATTAAACTTACACAACTCCTATAGCAAATAAGTATTAGCATCCAGACCAGAGAGACAAAATCCCGTGATAGGTCAATGGTTAAAGAGTATACACAGATAATTCACAGCAATGGGAAGCCAAGTATAGGTACAAATAAGTTATGTTTTAGTTTTAATAGGAAATTGGCAAAATAGGGGGGGGTGAATGAAAACTGAGAAAGGAAAATGAGGTGATGGAAAATAAATATTCATGTCACTGCCATTATGATTTAAGTTAGTTAGGGGGTAAAGTCAGACCAGCAGAACTGGTTAA